AGCTGTTCTTTGGATATTGGAAGTGTGATTTCTTTCTCCAGCCCACTAAACCTAGACTCCTCATCAGGCCCAGAGAAAAACAGCCTGCCTGGGACAAGTAGATTGAATCCAGTATTGGGGTCCCAATGCATTCAGAGTTGGGCTAATTCTTGCACTATTAATGGAGTGCCCATCTTAGATGGTCTTTAAATATTTGTACAACATTTATTTTCAGGAGTGGCTGTCTGGTGGAGGGAATCCAAAGGAAATCCCCAATGAAGGCATACTCCTTTCTTTTTTTTTCAAACTTCCTTTCCTAGCAATTCACATCTGGTTCAAATCGTATACTCCACTCAATAAAACAAAAACTGTGCCTCTAACCAGACCCATCTTCCTGAGAATTTACCTACCATGAATTGCTCTTCTGGCGCAAGTTACTCCCTCACTTATCCACTCAAGCAGACATTACTCTTCCTGCTAACATTATACTCTTCCCGAGAGGCGTTCTCTACCTCATTACCTTTTGAGGCATGTTTAGTAGCCCTTATAAATCTGGCTGTCTGGGAAGTGTCCAACTGGTTCCGTGCATTCAGATGCTTTGCAAGCAAGTAGCTCCAATAGATAGGTTTGAGGTGACAGAAAAGAGCTGACCATTAGTAGTAACATTTCCACCAACCCATGTGGGAAAAGCATTAAGGCATCTCTTAAGTTTCTGGTGTATGATATACCAGCTGGATATCAAAAGTAAGAAGATATTTAGGAATTAAGGAGGACAAAGCAACTGGGAGTGTGGAAAGGTCAAAAGCAAGAAGATTCAGGAAATTCTAGACAGCTCTTGCTTCGTGACACCTAAAAGTTGAATGAACTCCGTTTATAATTGTACACTTAGGAATGAGGAATACTAGGGAAAAGATGAAAAAGGAAAGATTGTCAACCGCCATCACTTTAACAACCTTTCAGCCAGGCTTGTTAGACATGAGCTGCTGGGTAGGGGAATGGTTTGCTTCCTTGCTTCAAAATGAATAATTTAGAAGTTTTACATGGATTTGCACAAAAGAGTTTCCTATTTCTGAAGACAAAATTGAACAGTTCAGGAAGTAGAAAGCATTAGGAAGGAGCAACATCCCCCCCCCCCAAAAGTAAGTGGATCTAACAAGTAAAATATCTAAGTCAAGCACATCCTGGTTCGCTGTCCTTCTACAGAGACCTTTTTTTTGTTCTCCATCACATGCCAACAATTTCAACTTTTTTTTTAACTATTATAATAAACTATTTTCTTTGCTTGTGTTATCAATGTCTTCCTCAGTCAGAGGAAAGAAAAACAGATTCTCCTCTTGCATTGAAATACTAGAGAGGAAAGCATGACATTCTCCTCTCCTCATAATGACAGAAGTAGTTTTATTTCTAAGGGACCTGTTTTAACAGAATGATACATTTCCTTCTGTGGATAAAAAAACAGTATGCAGAACAACATATCTTTGAGAAAGGCAGATGCAACTTCCTGGTGGGGAGAGAAGGAAAAGACAAAGGCTGTTGGGTTGGACAGGCAGGGCAGTTAGGCAGAGCAGTAGTGGGATAGAGTGGAAGGAGAGCTGGTTTGTTTGTAGGTTCCAGACCAGTTAACAAAAATCTGACCATCATTTTTCTCTCCATCAAATACTTTTGATAATAACTATGATCTAATTAGACAAAATTGGAAATTCCAGCCTAAATATAAACTCATTATTATCCACACTGAGTAACACAGCACAGAATAGGTTTTCTGAATACTTCTGCTATCCACTGCTTCATTACACACAGAACCTAGAAGTCCACAGCAGCTTCCAGAAAAGGGGCCTAAAAGAGCAGAAAACAAGTGGTAATACTAGCCCAGTAATGATGACTTTTCCCCAGTGGGTTAAAATCTACAAAGCATTTTAAAATAAATTACCTAATTTGGTATCTTCCATTACGCTAAGGTAGCCGGATCATTCCTATTTTATAGGCAAATAGAACAAGATCTACATTGGACAATTAACTAGACTGAGGTCACACGGTTGGTAAATAGTCAAGACTTGAGCTAATGCTGTCTGAGTCCAAGTTTAAGTTCTTTCCACCCCCTCATTAGTGCCATGCAATTAATAATGTCCAGATTAGCCAAACAGAAGTTGCCACCATGATGTAGATTTTGTCTAAATAACATAGTCACATAATTTGTGCTTTCAGTGCCTCTCTAACTGTGGTCCATTTGTATCATAATCATCCAAAATGCTTGATAAAAAATGATGATTTCTGGAAATTTTGTTCAGTAGGTTTAGATCAATGCTCTGGAGTCACATTATAAACTCCTATTTCAGATGATTCAGGAAATCCTTTGGAATTCTTTACGTGGTCCAGTTTCCATGACTATTGTTCAAACCTTGCCAGGTTGAATGTTTGCTATTGCTTTACCTATGTAGACTTCCTCCTGCTTTTCTTTAATTCCAGAGGCCAAAAATTACCAGTGGAGGAGGAGAAGTAAAGTCTTTCTGTCCAGGTCTAGAGGCAACTCCATTTACTGTGAACTAATTACATGAAAGCAAAACCAAGCACTGACCATGCCCCAAAGGCCACAGGCTTTCACTGAGGTGATATTTCAACCCATTTTGCTTCCAGAAGTCGGGTTAACCTCTTTCTTCCATGTCCTCCTCCCCTATCAAATATAAACTTTAGTGTAGCAGGTGATGATGAAACTAACATTATTCTACATGAGACATATTCAGTTAATTTACTAGTTTCACTACTTAATGATTGCTGGTCGGATATTTGTGCACATTCCCTGTGGGAAAGAAAGCCAAGAATACAAAGTCCCATCAAAATTATCTTTGTTTTTGTGACCTGGAAAAATAATTACATCTTGACGGTTCCAAAGCCAGTAAAAACATACGTGAAATGAGTGTCCTGCAGATGCTGTTTATATACTGAATGGATAAAGAAAGGCCTTTACCATTGGTCTGACTCAAGTAAGGGAAAACTGGGAGTTGCGATCTCTGAACATGGAACAGGTTGATTCAGGCGAGGCTGGGGTCTCTTCTCCCTAGACACTGATGAGCCAGGCAGAAGAGGGCGGATGGTCTGGACACATTGCCTAGAGCTGTGACTGCAGTACTTATATGGGAAGTTTGATTTTAAAAGATCAACCAGTAAGCACATTCTAAGATTTTTTTCTTTCGACCTGTGTGGGCCCCAGTTTCCGTGTCTGCTAATTGCAAATTACAAACAGCAGTCTCTGAAGCTGTTTACTGGTCTGACATTCTATGAGGTGGATTTTTTTTTTTCACTTGTTCCACACTGAACCAAGCCCAGGGCACAGATAGAGAATATAAACCACAGAAGTACTGTCTCTGCTCTTATGACCTAGAGACGTTGTGGACAGGGAACTGATGCGGGCATTAAAGGATTCATTATGAGAATAATTTATCGTGATGTGTGCAGTGAAGGGGAAATAGAGGCAGGCTGCTGTGACCCAGACACGCAGAGGGTAATCAGGGGAGGATTTCCTGAGCAGGCAACATTTAAGACCTGGGTGATTAATGGAAATTAGGCCATGAGGAAGGAAAGCAAGAATATTCCCTGAAAAGGCCACAGGTGGTGGAGTCTAACACAACTGGAAGCAGAAGAACACAGAGTGGCTGAAGAGAAGAGAAGAGCCCTGGCCTGGGACAGCTGCATGGGGGGGGGGGGGCAGCAACTGTCTTCGTTAGAGCCTGGTCATAACATGCATCTCTATTCTCAGAGCAATGGCAAGTCATGGGGATTTTTAAGGCCTGATCAGATTAGCATTTTTTTTCTGAGATCACTCTAGCGATGACCATTGATGATAAACAAGTATAGCTAATGTCCTCCTGTCCATTCTGATAAGCATGGGATCAGGCCAAGGTCTAGAACTCCACCCTGTGTTTAAGTCTGGATACCGTGATAGCCTTGATATGACTCTGAACCACTCATTTCAGCTCTCCTGGTCTCAGGCTTGGGATCTGCAAGACGAGCAACCAAGTTTGAGCTCCCTTTCAGTTTCAATTACCTGCACAGCTAAGTTTGGGGGCTAATATATCTGGAATTCCAGGAGACACAAAGATATGGTAAATTGAATCATTGGCCCCGATTCTTCATCCCTTCCAGCTGTGAACAGTGTCTCCCTGCCTCATGCTGGGCTTGGTCACGTGACCTCCTCTGACCAGTCGGCTCTCGGTAGCTACAACAAGCAGAGCCTAAAAACTGTATTATTCCTCATTCTCTCTAAGTTAAGGGCTTAGAAATTTTCAAAAAATAAGTGACCACAGCAGAGTGTTCCAACAGTTAGGTAACAACTATGTTGACTCTACATCCCAGTTTTCTCAGGCCAATCCTGGCTTATATCTGTTGCTCTGGTGTAATGATTTAGTTCTCTTTCTCAAAAGTGGGCTTAGATTATAAATTCTAACAGTCACCACAGAAAAAACCTGTCAATTTATCTTAAAAGCTTACCTGTTTAATCCACAAGATTGTCACAGCAACAGGGCTACCCCCTCACCCAGCAAACAGCCCACAATGATCATGGGCCTCCCAGGGTGAGGAAAGGGTGGCCAGTCTCCCTGCTTCCTACTATTCCAATAGTCTACACTCAGCAACTCCCTTTTCCTGCAAACCAGTTGAGGAAACCTAAAGTAACTCATATTTAGTGAAAGGTTGGGGGCTCCCATTTGCAAATGTAGTTTCAAATATGCTCGCACCGTTTCCTTGACGTGCATCATCACATAATTTGCTTGTTGACCACACAGTGCACTACACTTTCCATTATCCTGTCACGAAGACCTTGGCTTGTGTACATGGCAAGGTACATGTGTTTTTAAACACTTGGCAAGACCCTAATTTTTTTTTTAACACTGACATCTCTCTCCACATGTCCCAATACCCTCAGGTGAAAGGTGGCATGGAAGTAAAACACCAGGTCCAAGTCTGATACTGGTAGAAAATGACAGCCAGTCAGTCCCTGGAGTCTTATTCATGGAGAAGTGGTACCTTCAGAGCCTACATTTCCCCATGGTGGAGCGAAGCATGAGTACACCCTCTACAGGAGTCCCTGGATTATCTGCCATCTTCTGCCACAGGCGTTGCTCTTCCCCCCGAGAATCCATCCAATCCACAGTCTTTCCATGGCTCACACCTAGAGAAGGGAAAGGGGAACATTACCCTTCACAGTTGAAAGTGGATCTTCTGGAAGGCACCTGCCAATCTCTGAGGGAAACTTCTGACCCAAGCACCTCACTGACTTCTCACCACAGCCAGTGAGGGTGTTAGAATGGAACACACTCTCTGTGGCCTGCATAGGCTCACCTGCCTAGAATGACGAGAGACAAACCAGGATAGCCCTGATGGCCCATTTCTTTTCCTCTCAGGCAGTTTAGCAGAGAGCTGGCTCATTTGGACTATGCTAACACGAGACAACAGGCTGAAGCTGGGCTGAAGGTCCCCTCCAAACTTCCCTGATCATTTTACTGGCACAGGTTATTCTCAGCTCTCCCTGACTTTAAGCATAAGGGGAGGGTCCTGTTGACCACAGTGCTTAACAGCCCTCTATGTCTGGCTTAAGTCATAGGGGTCTGTGGGGTACAGGGGTTCTGTAATCCCTTCCTCCCCATTCACCCTGTCATAGCCGTGTCTTGTGGCAACAGTGGTCTGTTTCCAGGACCTGTCTGCAATATTAGATGTTACTTTTTAGGGAAATAATTGATTTCCTTTCCATTCAATGTGGGTAATGACAGCAAATGCTGGACAGATTCGAGAACAGGATGGAAGAAGGCTGGCTTGAAAGTCCCTCTCTTCCAAATCAGAAGCCTGCAATGTCTTATGAATCCCCCTCTGAGCAAAACCTGAAGGGCCAAGAAAGGAGGTGAACTCATTTCCACTAACACATAAGTGACATTCTTTGAACCATGAGCAGTAGACATCCCAAACTTCCACCCCAAGGATACAAATTATATAAGTGGTTGAATTTTAAAAACAGACAGATCCTCAGTGATAGGAATGGAAACGTGTGGGTACTGCAGGGGTCCAGCCACATAGACATCTGCCATGTGTCACACCTGCAGGAATCCTCCCCTGCCCTGTGCCCAGCCGCAAACCACCTCAAGTCCCCATGTCCCTCACCGCTTCCAGAATTTAAACGAACTCCTCCCAGAAAGATGTTGCTGGCAAAGGACTCCTTGTCCCAGACGGTGAGTTCTAAGCAGACATTCTTTATATCCTGGGGGTACAGGCCACTGAACATGAAAGTATGATTCCACTTAGGGTTAACACTCTTCTTCACTACCAGGGTTTTGTGCTTGGTGGCTTTGTTGTCATCAGGGAGCAGGTAGCTGTGGGAAAACACAAGCCGTCACTGAAGAGGTAGGAAGAAAATGGAATTTCCCATAGGTCGTGGTGTGGGAGAGTGATCTGTACATTTGATTTTCTCTCCCTGGTGCTTATAGACTTAAATTTGGATTTACTGAATGGAATTTACTATTGTTACTTTTAATGGGGGCAATAATAATGTTCTTCGCTGCCCTTTTTAATCCTATTTTGGCCCTTTCCTCATCATGACCAAAACAAAAAACTCCTCCTGTGCCAGACACTACTTAATGTCACACTTCCTGTTACCTCTGGCTCACCTTTGAGTTGACCTACAGCAGGCTGAGCAGTTCCAGCAGTCCCTCGCATGTTGACAGCTTCCCACCTCACGCACCTGCGTCTCTTGGCTTCTCAATGCAGGACTTTTCTAGGGTTGGGTGAGCTGGCACAGCTCATGGACAGAGAACCCCGGGATTCCTGGGGAACTCATGACCCTATGAGCAACCCTCAGCCAATGAGTTTTAAAATTCGGTGACTGAATCCCCCAGCTTCCCTGTCCCTTGAAGGGATAATTGTAAGGTATGTTCCACAAAATTCCTTGTTGCTTTCCCAGTGAAAATGAGCCCTGCGTTCCCACAGTGCTAACTCATCTGTTATATTTATAGGAACTTCCTTCCCTCCCCTGTCTCCTTTTCTCTACTCTCTCACTGGTATTTCCTGGAATCTCTTCTCAATAAAATAAATGCAGTCCCAGGTAGGCTTTATCTACTATGGTCAAAATCTCTATGATGTTATAAAGAAGCATCACTTCTTTCAAATTAATGTTGAAATAAAAAGTTGCTGACCATGTGGAGAACTAGGCTCTGGGTACCTGTCGGACCAGGGTGCGTGCTTTAGGAAGGGAGACACATGTGTATGGAATTAGCACCTGAAGCAAAAATTAAAAATACCCTGAAACAGAGGTCCTTCTAGTGAAGAAGATACATTAGGACACTTGCAATTTCACTGCATGTAACAAGGAGAGACAGCTGATGTCCAACTCTCATCAGAGTTACAGTATGTGAAGGCTAGAGGCCTCATTTGTTTTCTTGAAGGGGAAATTCTATTTTTCTAAGAAGGACTGAGGAATAAAACAGTGTCATCTAATTCAAAGAATAACCCTCACGGCTGGTGACACAACAGTTTATCACCTGTGTTTATGGTTTGATCCATGTGTATTTATGTATTGGCTTGAAGAAAAAAAAAACAGCAACTATACTTCCACTTCCAGTTCCGGTAATTACAGGGTAAAAAAACTCTCAAACAGATATGCAGAGGGCTCAGCTGTCTGGCTGCCTAGATAGGACAAGCACGTCCATATACATGGCTGCATGCCCTCAAGAAAGTGCCCTTTGTGCCACAGAGTGGCCATCAATGCCCAGCATGTGGTCATGAAGCTGCCCGCAGCCATGTCTAGTAGATGACGCTGGGGAGGCTGCTCTGGCATGTCCATATTTTATGATTTTCCCCAAGAGAGCAAAATACCAAGGAGCCTAAGTTTGCGCTGCTGTGCATCACCAGTGCAGCATGATAACAAAGCACAATAAAAAATACCACATGTGGACAATCACACTTGCTCCTCCTTTGAGAAATGAATGTCATGGGAGATTTTGCCAGCCTTGAGGGTGAGAGTGATGGGGAAATCGTGCAACACGCTGGAGCAGGTTGAAAGCCAGACGCAGTAGTTGCCTTCATACGGGCACTGTCTGAGGCGTTGGAGACGGCAGTCAGGGTGGCTCTTTACTGGGACATTTAGAGTAAGAAAAGGGAAGCCTCGCGGCTGCCACTACTTACAGATCATGGATCCTCTCATCTTCCATTAGGTTTTATTATAAAATGAGCCAAAACAAACTTACCCTTTCACAAAGCTATCAGAAGTGCCTCCTGACTTCACTGCTGTCAAATTCTTTGCTTCTTTGATGAAAACTTCCAGTATTCCTCCAGAGATTACAGGAGACTCCTTCTTCTTGCCACTTTTAAATGCCTTCTTTCCTGCATCAGCCATCAAAATGAGAGCAAGAAAGGGTGGGGGGGGGCAAGGGGCAGGAAGACAAAAGGAGAAGAAAACAACAGAAAGATCTCAGATTCCATTTCTATACTGACAAAAAAAAAATTGCCCTATGCTGATCCAATCAGGCCTTTACATAATTGTGTTTTTTCCATGTATTCATTTAAAGGATTTTACTACATTGGACTCCTTCTGGATAGGATTTCATTTGTGTTTGTTGAAAAAGAAGAATAAATTTAAATCCTAGAAGATTCAGTTTAGCATTAACAATGGATCTGCCATAGGACCCAGCAATCCCACTCCTAGGTATCTACCCAAAGAATGAAAAAACACTAATTCAAAGGGAAGCCTGCACTCCTATACTTACTGCAACACTGTTTGCTGTAGCCAAGCTGTGGAAACCACCTGAGTACCCCAAAAAAGATGAATGGATCAAAAAAGATATGGTATACACACGGAATGGAATACTACTCAGTGATCAAAAAGATAAATTCATGTCATCTGCAGCAACATGGATGGCAAGGAAGGGATTACACTAAGCAAAATAAACCAGGGAAGAAAGGCAAATACTGGTCAGTGTCACTTATATGTCAACTATAGAGAAACCAAAGGGTCAAATAAAGTAAAACATCAAAGTAACCCTTGAAAGCTGATGACAGAACTGAGGGGAAGGGGAACAGTGGCAGAGAACAAAGTGGGGGAGGGAGCACAATGGACTATAGCGAGGACTATGGGTATGGTGGTGGTGGACGCGCTGTGGTGACTCCTGAAGGCAGACATCCTCCACTGTCAGAAGACTAGCCACTGCAAGCCACTGCCACTGCAGTATACATTTTCTTTTAAATAAAAAGACATCTCTTTTCACAGGGTACAAAGGAAGGAAGGAAGGAAGGAGAAAAGATGATGAGAACTGTTTGTGTCACATTCCTGTTCTCAGAGAGAAAGAGCTACAATGAACACCCCACACAAGCCACAACTATCCAAAAAAGGAAGTTCCAGAACTCTCTTATTTGATATTGTAGTTTTATGGATTATCAGCTATGTTCAGGGCTGGTTCTAAAGGCTATCGTCGCGGCACAATTAAATTTCTGAGTGAAAGACAACTGCAATGTCACATTTTTAGTCTGACAAAATATGTTCACCATGAATAAAACCCACACCACCACCAATATTTAGAACTGCTTTAAGCACTTGAAATGAATGGCCTTACCTCATCTGTCAGAACTGAGGGAACTGAGGCGAAGAGATAGTAAATTACTTCCCAAGGTCATGGTGAAGAGGGTGATTGTGGTTGGGAAGAGAGGCTGCCTACAACAACTATTGGAAGCTGAAGGGCAAAGAGTTGATTCCACCTGGAAGTTTCCTTCGCAATTTATATTCTAGGTCAGGTTCTTCCTCAAGATTCCTTGAGTAGGTATGGACGCCATGAATGCATACAGCAGCTTTTTACATTTCCCCTTCTCAGCAGACTGCCCCCCACCCCACTCTGCAGAAGATCCTGTCTCTTGAACTTTCACAAAAGAAATCTTACCAACAGACTGGATTCTTAAACACTCATTTTGTCCTTTCCTTGTAAACACCCCACACCCTCCCCACATATCAAGCATCTATTTCTCAGTTCTCCCCCCCAAACTTCAGCCCATTGATGGCGGGGTGGTTTTAGCCATGTGGAACATATTTTGTCAGAATAAAAATGTGACATTGGAGTTGTCTTTTACTCAGAAATGTAATTGCGCCATGACTGAAGTGACAGCCAACTCCTTATACTTCGTATGTATAATGCAACAGTAACCCAGTCCGACCAAGCCCTGATCCTCCTCCCTAAGTTTGAATGTCCTTGCCACAGTCACCAACTCTCAACTACCTTGAAGCTCTGCTGGTGGAAGCACCAGTCTCTCCTCTGGGGGGATGTAACGCAGAACCACTGTCAGCTCTCCTTTGTATTGAAGGCTGACGTCAGCGGCAAACTCCACCTGACCGAGGGGAGACAGGCAAAAAGAAAACCCATGTTTGTGTTTATCATTTGTAGCTCATGTTTGAATGTACAATATCTAGTTAGTCACTTAGATTTGACAATCCATTCCCACTCACCCTTTGGTTTAAAAATTGCCTAGGTATGAGATAAGAGAGACTGGAAGGTTCGATGGACATATTTGCATACAAGTTTTAACATTCAAGGCATTAAAAGGCATCTGAGAGGAGATATATAACAGACAGTGGATCACCTGATGAAAACCGAGCACCTAGACTTAGCAGTGGATGTACACATATGCTTAGCAGTATGTGGTAGGAATAAAGATGCCACCAGAAATAGCCCAATAGATATTACTCCCTGTCTGCCTTCAATGTCACAGGGTTTTCTTAAGTAGCCAAGAAGGGGTAAGTCGGCAATAGTACCTACTTGGTGCTGAGCACCAGTTAGTTATTAAAAACCACACTGGTAATTCACATTCAGTTGCAATGTGGGAAAAACCAGTTCACTCAAATATTGCTGGCATGTAAACATGTGCAGTTACTCTGGAAATATCTGTCAGTTTCTTATAAGACTCCATCTGCAGCTAGCACACATCTCCAAAAATATATTCTTGGTCATTTTCACCCTCGAGAAATGAAAGATTATGTCCAAATAAAAACCTATACACAAGTATCCATATGATCTTTATTTATAATAATAAAAATCTGGAAGCAGCCGAGAAGCCCTGCAACAGTTAAACTGTGGTACAGCCATATCATAGAATACAATTTAGCAATAAACAGGAATGACTATAGGTACATGTGAAAACTTAGATTAATTTCTAGAGAATTAGACTGAATGAAAAAAAAATTCTCAAAAGGATACATGCTGCATAATTCCATTTATGTGACTTTCTTGAAATGAAAAAATAAATATGGATAACAGATGAGTGGTTGGAGGCAGGAGGGAGATGGATCTGATTAGAAAAGACCATGAGAGTTCCCCTGTATCTTGGCTGTGGTGGAAGGTACAGAGAATTACATGTGATAACATTACATAGAACTAAATCAACACTACCCTCCCCCACACAAATGAAAACTGAGGGAGTCTGGATAAAAACAGTGTATTATATCTAAGTCACTATGTCGGTTACAATATCATACTACAGCTTTGCAGAATATAACCACTGGAGGAAATTGGGTAAAGGGTACATAGGATGTCTCAATGGATCTATAGTAACAATAGTAATCTATATACTAATCTATAGTAACCAAAGACAAAAGTTTACCTTAAAATAGTCGATGTGAATGTATACCAGAGTCCCTATCCTGTAGGCCCCTACTTGACTTAAGTCCACTGAACTTAAATTTTTCATAAACAGAATATACTTTCTCAGGCTTCCCCCCCCCCCCCCCCTCCCCGAGATCTGATTTTTGAACACTAAATCAATGGACTGAGAATTATTGGGCTCTGAGAGAGGACAAAGAATTCAGAAACTCTCACACTCACAGCAAAGCCAGAGGCTGTCCAAGTATACACACACACACAACCAAGCATAACGAGCTGATTATAAAGAAAAGGAAACCTTGTCTGAATGTCTTTCCTTTGGGTGGTAGTAAATCTAATTCATGAGGGTGGGACAAATCACTGAAAGTATTTCATTCAATGTTTTCACCTGGGGTAAAAATGAGGTTAGATGGTAAACTAGACTATCTAATATTTAATCTGATTATTTTATATCAGGTGTCTTGTAAAAGGATTTTCCTTATTGCTTTGACAGTGTCAGACATGTTAATGTGTCATAAGTGGAAAATTAGAATGGAGAGTATTAAGGATGCCATTATGTTTTGGATACTATAGCCAAAGAGAGGCAGGATGTTTGGCATTTCTCTTTGGATCTGAGTGGGTTCTGTGATGACTTTGATCTGTAGAATATGCCAGAAGTGACAAAGTATCTGGGATACAGGCCTTAAGAGAGATTAGCAGCATCTACTTCCTCTCTTGGAATGACTAGTCATGAGAGGCTCCCTTTCAGAACTCGTGAGGACCAAGCAGCCACAGGCAGGTGTTCTAGTTGAGAGGCCTAACTGAGCTCCTCAAAGGCAGTCAACATCTAGTATGGGACTGGACCAAGCAGCGCAGACAAGTCTTTGACAACATCAGCCTCAGTCTACCATTTAGCTGCAACCACGTGAGAATTGTAATGACAACCACCCAGTTAAGACCAGTCAACCTACATTATCATGAGTGATGATGACAATCATAAATTGCTATTTTAATTACCTAAGACTTCTGGTCATTTTCTATGCAAAAAAAAATTAACTGGTACAGACTCTGCTTTTGGCTGAGATGCTTGGATACAAAACTATGCTGGTAGAAAAGTGATGTGTGCCGTTGTCTCATTTGTACATAAAATTCTAGCAGGGATCAAAACACACATTATTGGTATTTATTCATGTTCCACTGGTTCCCAGATTCAATAAAAATATGCTTGTGACTTTATATAAACATGGTCGTTGCAGCTTGCAAAAGAAGAAAACAATCAACATGGAGTCTGACAGCATTATAATCACATTCAGAAACGCCAACGAGGGCGCCACCTGGCGGCCTGTACACACATAACATCCTGCGCTACTTGGCAGCTCATAAGGCAACAATCTCCCACAGCGTAACACCACTCGGTATTAGTCATCTAACTTCCGCTCAGCACAATTCAATTCTACCAGCACACGTGGAATGCCTTCCCCAAGTAATGCTTTTAAGGCATTTTTGCTAAGTGCTGTGTGGACACAAAAAGATGCAGAGCCTGCTTTCAATCTATCTAGGAGACCTCTAAAAGTATAGTAGAAGCTCTATTAATCTGCCTTTATTTAACGAACTCATCAGACTGATTAATGAAGAGCAGAAGCTTTCCCACAAGGCCCAGGAATGTCTGTTCCTATCCTATCATGAATCAGCTGCATCAGTCCCCAAGCTCTTTATATCGGCCATTTGTGGTTCTGACTATAAAATTTAATGTCACATAAACCAGAGTACAAAAACAGGCAGCTGTTACATATAAAAATTAAGTTCAATACTGTAGAAGAATTAAAGATTTGAAAATGAATTTGTTATTAAGAGTATACTTGGGCTTCAAGCTAACAAAATTAGGAAAAACAGAAAAAAATTAGGAAAAATAGAAAAAAAGCTGGAAAATTAGGGAAAAGTTTGCATTTGGTTTACTTTGAATGTATTCTTAAGTTCTTCTTAAACTTTATTTCACAAACTGGAAATTTATAATGCTGCCGCATTAGGCAGAATTTATGCCAGGAATATGTGGCAGAATTTTAATCACTAAAACTGTATTCAAACAAAACAAACTGCTTCTTATAACAGAAGACTTGAAAACATAATTGCATATTTGAAGAAGATTTGGGGAAACAATTGCATATATATATATATATATATATTTGCTTTATGGTGGAATAAATGTTGAATAAATGCACGGTGAGCTTATGTTTTTATGTGTGATTTCTGTGACTTTCTATAGTAACTGACCTAACGTTGGTCTTGATTGCTGGGGCTTTTTTTCTTGGACTTCGCCTGCCAGCCAGTCCAGTGTCAGACAGTGAGAGCTGCTCTAGGACAAGCACAAAGAAACTACTGTGCAAAGAGAGAGTAAGAAGACTGGGATACATAGGTGCCCATTGTCTGGATCTTAGAGGATGGGAGAGATGATGCCAGATAAAGATGAAATGGAAAGAAGGTTAGTCCACATTAAGAAAGCCGTCCCAGCAAAATACAGTGGTGTCTGTGTAGAATGAGTTTAAAAACTAGTAGGAAGTCAGGTGTGATTAGAGGTGTGTGTGTGTGTGTGTGTGTGTGTGTGTGTGTCCATGTGTGCACACAGAAGGACTGATGGAAACAGGTTCTCCAAAAGACCCTAGGCCATGAACTTATGGATAGTGTTTACTAGGAAGGGTAGTAGGGAAGTGGGACTTCTAAGCATATTAAGACTTAGCAAGGATTTTACCATCAGAGAAAGTTCCATGAAGAGTGCTTCTGCTCAGACCCAGAGGAGACCACCAGAGATTGGACAGATGCTACATCAGCAGCAAGGGCAGGAGTGTGGGTGTTCCTGCAGCCACATCACTGATGGCTGGAATCACCAAGTGATTCTGGCTGCTCATACCCACAGGCCAATCCCACTCACATAGTCTGAGGATTCCTCTCCTACAAGGACTGGAAGGTGTTGGCTGGTGGGAGTGTCAGGCTTGGGGACCACATGAAAATGGGGATCTGGGTAGAGTCCTGACATGCTCCTCGCCACAGAAGGCTGGGCCACATAAAGGGAGCACTGAACGCCAGGGTGAGGGTTGGGTTTACTCAGGTCACAACCCCCAACAGCAGTGGGCCAGGGAGGTCGTCTGAGTAGAGGTATGGGAGAAGCAGAAAGCTGCTTATCTTCTTCTTTTTGAAAAGAGACATACTGTTTCCATTCGAGTAAGGAGCAGAGAATCTCGGGGTGTTTACAGATCTAAGGTGATAAATTGCAGAGAAATCTGCCAGAACTACCGAATAAAGAGAAAGTCTACTAGGTAATAATGCTACAGGAATGTACTTTCACTCTCTGCCTTAAGGCAAAACAGGGATGGTTTCCTGGAAAACCATCTAAGCTTGCTGTTGATGTTCAAAGGTCCTTGTTTTTATAATAGCATCTTTGAGGAACACATGAAAGGCAATTCATAATGACAAACCCTTCTTGTCTAGCCTCCTAACAAGCCCTTCTGGAAGGGACAGTGATAGCAACACACAGTCCTGTCTCCTGTAGAGAAGAGGAAGCTATTATACGAAATAACATTAAGGCACTTTGGGCATCACGTTTTCGGCTATCAGGCTCTAAGACCTGGCAAAGATAAAGGTAGGTGCCGGGGGAATTCCATGAGCACATAGTCAAGAAGCAGTAAGACAATATGTCTTCTCAGTAGTCCCACCGTAGAAGGATGCTGCTATTTTCAAGAGCTGAAGGACTATTAATTCTGATCCTCTATCACAAAGGGTCCCTCTGGCACACTTCATCTCCTCAGCCACATAATTCAGGAGATGCCAAGTCCTGGGGGCTGCTCACCCTACAGCTGCAGCTGATGTGACTACGGCACTGAGGTGTCTATGAGTGAGGAGATGCTTCGAGAGTTCACTGACAATCTACCACATGGAGTCCAGCTTTGTCTGAGGATGAGTCACTCAAGAAGCAGGAGATGGTGGGGCAGAGAGCCTCCCTAGTGGTTTGGGAATTAAATCTCAGCACTATGAAGCTATTGGCAGCCACTGCAGAACGAGTTTGATCCCCAGCCCCCGAAGAGACCCACAAGGTGCAACAGACCACTGTCTTGCGCGCTGCTCCCCTCAGCAGTGTGGTTCGGTGGATCTGCCTGTTCTGCTCCCCACTCTGTCTCTGGTGAGTCCTCTTACCCCCCTGCACCTTGAACCTGTACCCCAGTTCTTGTATGCATAAATAAATACAAATAAATTTTAAAGAATTAGAAGCAGGAAATGGGGTGGAGACCAGGCTTTGTGCCTGTCCTCTCCATTTGGGGAAGTGTTATCCATGCAAGACTCAATCTGCACACTTTCCTCTAGGTGTCAAAGGCAACTTGGTAGAGAAAGATGACAGGTTGACGATGCTGGCTCATGCTGGCATCCCCAGAAACTGACTCTATCTAAGCAAGGATTCTTAAGCAAGTGACTTATGAGGGAAATGCCCCAAACGTGTGTGGGATGGGTGGCTTAATGGGTGAGCATCTTCTTGCTTCCTGACGGTGTGTTAGCGGAAATCCCTGGGCATCTACTGTTGTCTCTGCTGATTCTTTGAGCCACACAGGCAACGAGGAGGCTGGTGTGCATAGAGAACTCAGGGGAGGGAGGAAGCCCAGCCTGAGTGCACCCTGGTGTGCCTGGGTGCCCTGTAGTGAAGTCATGTCTTAGTTTTTTTTTTTTCCCACTGACCTCTTATACTTCCCCGTCCATCAGTTACTGGCTGAGGGGTGTCTTGTGCCATGGGGTACATAAGCTCCTAGGAACCTCTGAATTTCTCCCCATACAAGAAAAAGCGAGGAAGCAAAACTAACAGACACGGGGGTGTTGCTGAGCATGGGTGATTTCACAGACACTAAACAGCATCCAACTTCTCTCCTGTGAGCCAGCTCAGAGATGCTCCCCGCAACAGCAAGCAGGGGAAGGTGGTACCATGGAGTTCCTACACACAAGGGTTTCCTGGGAGAGCTCAATGTCCCACCCCAAGTCCTTCAACCATTTCCAAGAAAGTGACTGGGGACCATCCTAGCTGGTTCCAAAGGGCATCTGTACCTTTTAATGCTATCTTTATGCCAGACAAGTTAATTTTATGTACCAAGATGCATGCCATGCACATTTTCTAACTGATGCATTGGTGCTTGGCTGTTATCTACAAAAGGAAGCCAGTGACAGGAGAATGCCGAGCCACGGTTAAGGTGCTCCCTTTGAGCGAGGTTTTGCGTTCCATCCTAAGAGACTGTGGTTTCCATGTTCGATGTCAGTGGAACAGTATGATGCTACGGCCTTACATGTACTTACCTGTTGTTAGTCATGGGCTTGCAGTTACTTGATGCTTAAGGAGTTTTAGATTTCATTTTCAACGGTATCCAGAAGTCAGTGACATCTCAAAGAAATTCCACAAGTTATTTCTACCAAGTTTGAGGGCAAGAGTTATAAAAGTACACCAGAATGTTGTATTTAACTGCTGAGGTCTCACTGTCCTCACATAAAATGGGGATCCTGATACTGACCTCATGGGGTGGTTGTAAATTTATCACGAAGAATGAACAACGCTGCTGTCAACGATGATTGGGTTTTTTGTTTATTTGCTTTGTTGTGTAGAATCCTCTCACCCCGCCCTTTGGCACCACTGTGCCTGGTTTCCTTTGGGTCAATTCTATCTTCAGGACCAGGGTATATGCTGATTATTTAATTTTTTCAAAAAGATTTATTTAGTTATGCATATAGAACTGGGGTACAGGGGCAGTGAGAGGATTCAGCAGAGGCCGAGTGGGGAACAAACCAGGCCGACTGACAAAGTACACTGCTGAGGGGAGCAGTGGGAGAGGCAGAAGAAGCCTGCCACGCCATGTGGGTCACCTCCCTGGCCGGGGATTGAACTCATGCTGAAGCGGTTGCTAATAGCTTCCTAGGGCTGTGCTTTGACCTGTTGCGCCACCAGGGAGGGCCCTAAGCTGATTTTCTCAAACCAGTCAATGAAGCTCACCCATGGCCAAAGGGACAAACTCAGAACAAGCACTGCCATTAGAATTAGGGGAGCTGGGCCCAGGACACTGGTAAGGCTGACACGGGAGGAGGAATTCAAGCTCTTGAACAGTGTGATGCAAGGATGAGTAGCTTGCAGCTCCTATAGGGTCCAAGAAAAACATACTTGGAGATAGTGAGGGGGGTCAGCACTGTGTGAAGTCTGAAAATGAAGCTAACTAACACAGAGGAGTAAAGACGCCAAGAGAATCCAGGACCTTGATAAGATCTGAGCAGTTGGATCAAATCATGCTTGATACCCACTGACCAATAAGCTCTTTTTTTTTTTTTTTTTAAGCAGTATGAGCTGGGATTTCTGTCAACTGTAATATAAGGGCTCAGATACACCATAAATACTGCCTAGCATTTACTGAAAGTATACAGCGGGCCTGACACAGTTCCACACACGTTACATAAAGTGCTTATTCCAGTCTCACAGTGTCTTTATAAGCTATGTCCAATTATATCAGAAATGAGAACACCAAGGCCTGAGAAGTTTTAAGTAATTTGCCCAAGGCCACACAGTTGTGAAGACAGGAAGTTGGATTTGAATCCAGTGTCATTACTATCATGTTTTTTTTTTTTTAATATTTATTTGCACAGAACTGGGGTACAGGCCAGAGGTGCAGGGGCGGTGAGAGGATTCACCAGAGACAGAGTGGGGAGCAGAACAGGCAGATTGACAAGGTACACTGCTGAGGGAAGCAGCGGGCGGGTCAGGAGAGGTCTGCCGTGCCATGTGGGTCACCTCCGAGGCAGGCGGGGTCTGAACTCATGCTGAAGTGGCTTTCACTTCTTAGTGCTGTGCTTTAACCCGCTGCACCCTACTATCAGGGAGGGCCCTACTATATGTTCTTTTTAACTCTGTTCTTTAACTCTGCTAAAAAGAACAGTCTGAGCCCTCCCTGGTGGCACAAGGGGTTAAAGCACAACACTATGAAGCTAGACACAGCCACTTCACGAGTTCAATCCCTGGCAAGGGAGGTGTCCCACATGGTGTGGCAGACCACTCCTGACCTGCCTGCTGCTCCCTTCAGCAATGTATTTCATTGATCTGCCTGTTCTGCACCTCACTCTGTCTCTGGTGAATCCTCTCACCACCTCTTCACCTCTGGCCTGTACCCCAGTTCTGTATGCATAAATAAATCTTTAAAAATAAAGAACAATCTTTGCTTGTATAAATATGACCTTGTAATACCTCACCTGGGGTTTAAAAAAAAAATCACTGCCAATGTATCAAGATGTGCCGAGTAAATCCAAGGTACCTGTTGGTCTAGTTGCTATGTTGTCAATTAACTTCTGGAACTGGTTTTGCAGTTCTTTTTTTCTGAAAAGAACTCAAGACCTGGGGTATATAGCCCTAAATAGGGGTGCAGGAAGCCAGGCAATTTAGCTACTCTCACATCCTCATGTGGGTCAAGGCAAGACCATTCCTGCTTATAGTCTGATGGTGGAGAATGTTCTGGCATGGATCTTGCTCTATGGATTTGTTTTATTGATGCGAACATGAAAGCTCTCTCTTTCTACAGGCTCACATATGTTCTTCTATTATTCAAATGTGGAATGCATTTTTAGTAAAACAAATTAATATATGAGACTATGTTGGTTTGTATTATGCATTCTTCCCTGAAGGGCTTCCAAAAGAATGGATTTGCACTTATTCCAAAATTATCTGTACAAATCTTTTTAGATTATCACTTGACAACTGGTAGTCTCCAGGCTCTCTAGGTATGTGACATCGATTTTGCTATATTTTGCCTACTTGTACAACTATGTGACTCATCTAGAAGCACTTCCTACCTTGGGCTGAAGCACAAACCACTCATCACTTGGATTTTCAAAGTTCCATGAGTCGAAAGGAATCTCCACCTCTCCAAGGAAGCTGTTACGTCCAAATCGATCATAGTGCCAGACGGAGAGCTGCAGAGTTCGTGTTTCCAGCTGGGTATGGCTGATGGTGTACTGCAAATGAGATTTGAAATATCAGCTTCGCGAAAAAGGGCTCAGTTCAGCCCCAGGACAGGTTGAAACTGACTCCCATCCGTCCTCTTTCAGATCTTATGTATTAGTAATGTGAAAAAAATGCAAAGAAAACAATTTCTTGGTTCTGCATCAGTGAGGTTCTAGCCCATGAATTCATTTTGTGTCAGGCCTAGCAGTGAGAGACACACACTTACTAATCCAGGGAGTCAATAAACTCCAGATGCTATGAACAGTGTTAAGTGATGAATCTTACCAGTTTTACCTGTTTTTCACTTGCCTCAGTATTTTCAGTAACTATTCTGTAAGCTCAAGTTTTTAAATGATCAATTTTCCACTCCTCTGTCTAATTTTATTCAAAACAAGGACCTCCAAAAGGCTGACAATGACAAATTCCTATCAGGCCAAGGATGTGTCACCAGACCACACAGCATGTGTCAAAGAGACAGGCAGATTATTTTGACCTGGAGGAAATTGGAAAACAGAAAATCCAAGAACAATGCTTTGCCAAACTATCTCCTTAAAAACAGGAAATAACTCTTCGCTGTGGTGCTCCCTGCAGTGAGAGAAGAGAGGCTTTCCTCAAAGGAGGGTCTGATCCCTCAGCCTCGGGTCGGTTTTTATATGCCAATAAACCCCGGGAAAATTCCCTTCCTAAACTTCAAAGTTTCTTTTTGATCTGTCTTTTCCTCCCATGTCGTATTATCCCTTTTCTAAGAACTACCTATAATCCCTGGCTGACAGATCACAGTTTCTGTAGTCTATGGATCCCCGTGCTCATGTAATTAAATTTGTCTTTACTTTTGTTAATCTTCCTTATGTCAACTGAATTCTTCTCCAGCAGGGAGGACCTAGAAGGGTAGAGGAAGATTAGCTTCCTCCCCAACATGGGCTAACAGCAAATTTCATAAAGCCCAGCCTAAATGCAGGGGTGAAAAGATACGTGCATACATTTTGCAGAAAGTAAATCTCTCTGTGTTAGCTAGCTTTCCTTTTCCCAGCAGTATGCTATCGGGAGCCAGCTGCGCACACACCTTCCACCCTCCTGTTGTTCCATGTAACCACTAACTGGATGCACTTCTGAGTGACCGATTCCTGAATCTGGTCCTGCATCTGCACTTGTCCTTGCTGGCCCTGACATGATTAACCTTGGCTCCCTGCTTCTGAATCTGCCATTTTACACCACTTTTACCTGTTCCACTTGGGCTCATCTTTGTTACCCTATGACAGTCACTGGATGTACCCCCTGTCTACATTCATTCATTCATTCATTCTCATTTTGATCTCCCCTGATAATCGGCTTCTTATATCTACATATGCAGGTTTATGATTTTCTACCCTCACCAACTTCTTACTCTGGCAGACTCTCCACAAATGTGTCCCTACATCTGGCAATGCTGCCTATTCCAGTCCCTGCGGGTCTTCTTTACCAGGTCAGGTGGTTGAGGGTGAGAGAAGGGGTGTCCCATGGCAGCCCAAAGGGAAAAGTAATTTCTCTGGGCCTGGGGTCTGGGTCAAATCTTATGCAGACTATTTTCTCTGTAAGTTTTCAAGCCCAACTCTGCATCTCTATCACTAACCACATGCCTAAATTTAGCTAAGATCTGAAATCCTACCAAGAAACAGAACATAGTCAAGCTGTGCCACCAAAATAATGAATGTGTACTAAGTGACCTGCTAAGTTAGTGTCAAAACTGTGACAAACTTCTTTTAAGGGAAACTAGAGAAAAACACAGCTTTTCCAAGGGTGAAACATATTTTCGGGCAAGATGTGCCAGCACAGATGTCATTTTGCTGGGTCATCTCTAGTTAACATGTAACTTTAGCAGTCGCTGAGAAATAAACAAAATAAAAGTGGTTTGCATTTTTTCTTTTCTAAAAATTGTCAAGAAAGCCAAGATTATTACGATAATTTACTCAAATTGTGCTTTTCCAGAACATATACACAAATTCTCCATAGTTACTTCTAAACCAATGCAGCTGTGAAGAATACCACATGAGTTATGATATAGAGTATTTACCTTTAGTGTTTCATTGAATTCTGGATTGGTGCCTGTTCTGATTTTGGTCTTGCGCTTATTGTTTCGAGACTTGTCGGGAAGAAGGTACGACTTGACATAACTGTAGGTGAGAAAAACTGAAATTAATTACTGGGAAACATCTACCTTGCAAGAAATGTTCAGAGACTCCAGTGAGTAAAAGGGATAAAGGAACTAAATTATAACGTTATATGAGGGTAAGAGAGAGAAACAATGAGAACAATGTTTGCTATGTAACAGTACACTTCAACATATAATTCTAGACATTCCATGAGACAGGAGGAGGATAGTGGTAAAGAGTGTGAGTTCTGGCTCAAGCCAACTGGGTTCGAATCACTCTGTGCCTCGCTGATTTTGGTGAACTTAAGAACCTGAGCTCTCTCTGCCTTAGTTTATTCATATGTAAAACTGAGAATAACAGTAATTTGTGGTACTGTGAGAGTTAAATTAGTGATACATACAAGGAGTTGACATATCCTATTCAATAAATGTAATCTATTATTATGTTCAATGGGCTCACAAAATATGATAGACTGATGCTTGTCTCCATTTAGATGTTAGGACTCTTGATGAGTAGAGTGGATGGTAGTGGGTAAACGAAGGAAAATGGTGAAAAAGAAACAGAAAATAACAACCTGAAGTCACAACAGCAATTCCACTCAACACCTGGCTTTGAGATAGCCCAGAATTCTTTTGGAGTAGGAGCCACATGGTAGACCCAGAAATGTACAAGACTGAAATGTACAAGATGCTACCAGAACCCCCAGCACATCTAGGGGGCTTTAGATGCCCCTCTTCGATGCTCACAGTGGTTGTGAGATGCTCACAGAGGTTTGGAGGTCCTCTTGAGTCTTAGGGCAAGTTAGAGTTAATTAGGCAGCTTCGGGGCCAGTGCAGGCAGGGACTTTGGGAGAATTAAAAAAGCTTCTGAGATAAGGACAGAGAAATGCAGGCAGGTTAATGAGGACAGTAAATTTTAAGGCTAATAAGGACAGAAATTTTTAAGACTTTGGACAGGGGCAGTGAAAGAAAGACCAAGATAAGAGCTGTAAAGCTGGCCACAGCTTCTCAGGGAAGTACAGCCACGGAGAGATCCAATAACAAAGGATGATGAGATTTTAGACTAGAGGAAAAAGCGTTGAAAAATCCCCGAGACACAGGCCCGCTGGGCATCCTCTGCCCTGCCCGAGCATTGCCACCTTAGAGTCTTCGCTTTTGTTCTTTTTCCTCTACATAAACTTTATTTTCTTGAACAAGGTTTGTTTCTCTCTGCTTACTTATCTAAAATGCCTGCAAATTCCTTTTTACAGCTTTGTGGGTCTACATCATTTATTACGTAAAAAAGGGGTAACACAGCAGGCCTGAGATGGCTCTACTCACAAAGGCCTGCTTACAGAGTTGGTCATCTCGGAAGCTGGATTTTAGGAGGATTTTCATCATTCTCAGAATGATCTACATGGCTCAGTGTAACTAAATTATTTTGTAAACACTTATACTTAGCACATATTTTCCTTCTGATGGACAGGAATTTGATTATATGACCAGAGGATTCTCAAAGTGAGCAAGTGTTAGTTATCACAGCTAGTTGCTAGAATAATTGAACAAACTATGTGACCCCACTGGGCAAAGACACTTGGAAGCTTAGGCCCAGACTCCCCATGACCTTGTTGCATATGCCTTGTCCTGTGGCCAACCATAACAACAAGTGAAGTCCCGTGAGTCCGTCTAGGGAATCTCTGAGCCTGCCATGGGCCTTGGGGACTCTAACATAGCTTCATATCTAGCTCCCTTCCAAGAGGCCTCGGTCCATCCCAGCCATCCCAGGCAGCTCCCCGGACTTATCACTGCCTTTAGGGAGTTATTCAGTTAGGCAAATAGCTTGGTGCTTTAATTTTCTGGATGATTTCCTAGAACAAAATTTCACAGGATACTCTTATACATCCTGAGGTAGGCCAACGTGTCAACTGTTTATCTCAAAGAGCTGCTGCCGTATAAACTACAAACATGTCGGTCCTGAATTAGGTGGAGGGATAGCTTTTTTTTTTTTTAAGATTTATTTATTTGTACACACAGAACTGGGGTACAGGCCAGAGGCTCAGGGGTGGTGAGAGGCTTCACCAGAGACAGAGTGGGGAGCAGAACAGGCAGATCGACGAAGTACACTGCTGAGGGGAGCAGCGGGCAGGTCAGGAGAGGTCTGCCATGCCATGTGGTCACCTCTGGGACAGGCGGGAATCGAACTCATGAGGAAGTGGCTTTAGCTTCTCAGTGCAGTGCTGTGCCACCAGGGAGGGCCAGAGGGATAGCTTTTTAAAAATCACAACGGTGGACATACCATTACACATGCATGTCAGAAAATATTTAGAAATGTGGTAAAGGAGGGACATGAAAATCAACCTTCTGAAAGGTGGGAATCAACATCAATGCTAAGGCCTTTCTAAAAAGAAACACACATATGCCAGAAAATGTAGTGACTGAAATAGTCGAAGGGATGTGCCATGTGCTTACGCATCTGTTCTCTGTTTCTTTTCATCACCAATGGCAAGATTTCTGCAATTCTTGACAAAAATGTAGAGTCCACCAGTTTTGTAGCAGTAGCTGATGTGCAGAAGGATCTCGCCACTGACCTTCACATTGCCATAGTCTCCTGTTTCACTGTAAACACTCATCATGCTGTTAAGGCTGGTCTGGAGTAAACAAGATGCAAAGAGGTGGAGTGTTATTCTAATAATCTCTTTATAAAACCCACATTTTCATTAAATTACAACTCTGGCTCATTATAAAAAGCAGAGGCACCTCTGGTGAGGGAAGAAAGCAAAATCACTCATGTTGCTTGCTTTTCCGGGGTGGTATAAAACTCCAGCCTGAGAGAGGCCAACAGGTTGAGAACAATTAATAAGAAGGCAGGACAGTTGCTGAGCGGGAAGTATGGACTTTTTGGCTTAGCAAACAGCCTTTGTTCAGCCTTTGCTAATGAATACTGGGTCACTGAGGGGTTTCCAATCCCACTTCCTATTTCTATCTCTGTAGCTTTCTTCTTTATTCACCAGCAGACTCAGGTCAATGTACTTCAGTGTCTAGACTGCACTGATCAAGACAAAGGAAAGCTCATCTCAAAGTCTGTGTGAGCAGAAACCACAAGCTAATCTCACTCCTCCCCCTCAGAGCACCCCATTAGTCTCTGGGGAGCCAGGGCTGCAGCTTCAACAGGAAACATTAAGTATCCATCACTACCAAGATTTCCCTGGGCAGTTGTGTGGCCAGTTTTGTAAATCTCTGTGAAGGAGCAACTCACAAAATGAAACATTAAACCACAAACACACCAACCAATAAACAAAATATTAAATGACACAAAGCCCCAATCTGTCAGGATGAATGAAGTTTCTGATAAGACACTAATGACATGAGACACATTTTAAATTAAATGTAATATAATTACCCTTTAGTGCCAGCAGCACAACCTCTGTTTCTTAGCAACATGACTGTCACAAAAGACCACCCGGAAGGCTGCAGTTATTGACCCAGTAATTTCAAAAGTCCTGTCTGTGAGCCACTGAGAAGGATCACGGTGAGCACAAAGAAAGCTTAGACTATGTAATGTGCGCGCGCACTCGCAAAAATGTATGTAGTCTAGTTAATCTCTCTTTGCACATATTATAAATACCACATTTAGGTACACATGAACACATATGTACATTGTGCACACATACACACCTCGAAGTCATTATAATCCATCAAATTGCTCAACAAAGACATTGAGAACAGAATGCAGTAATGTGGCCAGTCTCTCTTCGATGCTTCAGTCGATGGAAGTGCACACCAAGAATTCCTTAGTTCCGAGAACATACTTAAACAGAGCTAGCAAGTGACCTGTCTACCCTGTTCCTAAAGCAACAGAATTTTCATGCATTACAGATCCCTTTGAGCACCGTTTTCCAAACTTTGATTGCAGTTAGATCACTTGGTGATCTTGTTAACATGAAGATTCTGATGTTCTCAGTCTTAGGTGGAGTATAAGATTCGACTTTTCTCGGCCCACGATTCCTAAACTCAAAGCATCCCAGAGCATCATAGCAAACTCCCAGAGGGCACCAAAGGGTATTAAAAAAAAAAAACTAAGGGAAACACAGTGACATCTACTAGACCATCATACAAACTACTAATGACTAGTTCAGTGTCAACATCGCATCACACTTTATTCTCAATGATGTTCTATCAGTGTGAAAACAGTTTTAGCCCTCACTGTGACAAAAAAACAAGTACTGCACAAGAATCGATGTGAAATAGGAAAGGAAAGTGCTGATAACAATCAGATCCCAAGGTTTATCAACTCATGCACTTTCCTGTAGATGTGCACTCCATTGGCAAACTAGCAAATAGTAAAAGGAGCTATTTAACCACAGAATAGATATACTATTTTTCTTTCAACTTATGTACATTATTTTTTCTAATGGCTACTAAGAAGTTAGGCTGTAACCAGTACTTATATGGACCGGTGCTCATCAAGCTTTGCCAGTCAGAAATGAGCCACCAAGGTTTTACTTTTGGTCTAAGCAACACTGAGACATAAGGGGTTCTTCGAACTAACTTTTTGAGTTTTTCATTCAGGTGATGTTGTGCTGCTGGTCCATGGACCATACTTTGAACTGCAAGAACTACTAGGTTAAGCCCCAAATCTCCTTGTGAAAACATGAAAAAACGGTGTCTCATTGAAATTACTGGCAATACCAAGACCCCCTCCTCTGACTTAATCTGAGCACCTCCCAACCACTCCTCATTGCCTCCTTGCATCATGAACTTGTGTCTACATCACGTCTTACTGTAGCTACATCTTTAGAGAGAGTTTTCCATCAACAGGAGTCCCTTATAGATAGAAGAAAATGTAGGGATCTACAAATGCTGAAGCTTGGGAGAAATTAAGGCAAATGGGGCAATTTAATTACTAACTATATTTTATGCTCTTAACCAAATGAATGCCGTGATTAAAAAGAGAGATGTTTATTCTAAAGGTATTTCGTTATCATTAAATACTTGGGACCATGCGACTTTTAACTGACACACAGTGTCTAATTTAATGACTATTCTATCTTTGGAATAATTGGATTCTGTAACCTTATTTGTCTTTTAAAAATTAATTTATATAATTGCATATGTAACATATACATATGTTACATCGTTTTTCATTTATTTTTATTTTTCATTTTTTACAGTGTTTGCTTTATTTTCTCAGGTCTAGTCCCCATAGAATTCCCATAACCAGTTTACCTGTGCACCATCAACACAGTCCCTTGTGTCTGACGTCCCCTGTTTTAATCCCTCTTCCTCCCCCTTCCCTGCAGAATGTCTCTGATTTATAGCTGCCTGTTTATTCTTGTTTTATGCTTTATTTCTTTTCCCTAATGCTTTCTTTGGTCCCCCTATATTCCTCCTGTAAGAGAAACGATCATATTTCTCTGACTTATTTCACTGAGCATCATCCCTTCTAGCTCCAACCATGTTGCTGCAAATGGCATTAGTTTATCTTTTTTATTGTTGAATAGTATTCCATTATTATCTTTTAAAATAAAAAAAAATCTGGTTAATTATACACAAGAAAAGATGAACGCTGGAAAAATTACCCACCTCATCCTATTTCCCAAACAATGAAATCTGTGAAGTATGGTTGGCAAGAAGGAAAAGGAAAGATTGAAAACTCACAGTGTCGGAGTCAGCATCAGGCACATTTAGGTAGGTCCACTTCCTGTCAGAGCCTGCTTGAGAATTCTTTAAGGAAGTTGCCCAAAGGTAAAAAGGAGAAAGGGTATCAGAGCCCGGGGATGGGGAGGGGGAGGGGGAGAAGGAGGGGGAGAGGGAGAGAGAGAGACTTAGAGGCACATAGGAGGGTACAAGCACTCAGGGTCATAACACCTTCCTCTCAGGGAAAGCCTTGAACACTGATGTTAAGAAGGTACTTAACTCCATGGGTGGTGGAAAGCTACAGATGCTGTTTGAGTAGGAGAGAAACTTGACTGGGCATTAGTGCTAGGAAAATGAATGGCAGAGTGGAGGACGGGAGTATGGCTGGGGAGTTGAGAGAATGGTAGTCAGGAAATTTATCAGCAGCCATGGAGACAACTTTCAATAAGACTTCAGTTAACATTGTAGGCAGGTCCTTAGAAACTGCAACTTTAAATGTAATGTGTAATAAAGACAGATCTTCAAATAATGGCATTTCTGTGAATGTGGGCTCTAATTGTTTTTTTTTTCCTCCTCAACAATGCTGTCATAAAGCAAGGCTGAGCCAAACAACACTTTTTTAAGGACCAGATCTCATGTAAGCCTGAACAAAGAAGTGAAGAGGTTTTAAACTGGGCAAGGACCATGAACTGAAGGAAAAAAATTCAGGAGTTGTAATAAATTCCTAAAATGCCTGTATAGGGGCCCTCCAAGGTGGTGCAAGTGGTTAAGATGCAGCACTACTATGAAGCTATTGGCAGCCACTGCAGCATGAGTTTGATCCCTGGCCAGGGAGGTGACCCACATGGCACAGCAGATCTCTCCTGTCTCCCCCGCTGCTCCCCTCAGCAGAGTGTTTCAGTGGATCTGCCTGTTCTGCTCCCCACTCTGTCTCTGATGAATCCTCTCAACTCCATGTACCTCTGGTCTACACCCCAGCTCTTATATGCATAACTAAATTTTTTAAAATAAATATAAATAAAAGGCCATGCAAAACTAGACCAAAGTGTACTCTGTTGCCAAATGACAAAGAGGAGACCATAAAAACTTTCAACCCAATATCACAGATTTTCCCACATTCATGTCTCCTTTGGAAAAGTACAGAAAATCAACAAGAGAAGCCAAGAATTTCTAGCACATGTTAGAAAACTACATACGGTTGACCGGCCACTTGCTAAATTGTAAGTGTTTGCAGAAAACCGGGAGGACACTAAGTTATTGATGCCTTCTTCACTCTCTTCTAAGAAGTCCTAAGAAGGAAGAAAACAGAATCAGTGATTGGTTTATTTCTTCCCTAGAAAGTTCTTTCACCGTAAACCCACATTTTTAAATACATGAAAATTGAGATAAAAATGTCTAGGAATCACCCCACCCTTGGTTCAGTTCTTTTCTGTCCTCCATTCAATTTGAACTATGCCACCAGAATAGGCTCCTCTTTCTAGGGTTTCCTTTATGAAAGGAACATGAACTTTGGAATCACACAAAGCTGGGTGTTCAATTTCTACCTCTATGAGCTCAAAGGTGATTCACTGTGGACAGCATATTTAAATTACTTTAATGTTTTAAGGTCTATACCACTGTACAGGATTCAGAGATGTGTGGATTAGATCATAGATACATTGCCTTTAAAAATTATGGATTTTTTGGCCCTCTCTGGTGGCACAGAAAGTGAAAGCACAGCACTACAAAGCTAAAGCCACTTAAGCATGAGTTCAACCCCCACCCCGGAGGTGACCCACATGGAGCAGCAGACCTCTCCTGACCTGCCCACTGCTGCCCTCAACAATATACTTCTCAGTTTGCCTGTTCTGTTACCCACTGTCTCCAGTGAATCATCTCACCGCCCCTGAACCTCTGGCCTGTATCCCAGTTCTGTATGTATAAGTACAATCTTTTTTAAAAATTATAGATAGTTTTTGTTGTTGCAGTCTCTTGTTTCCTGGCCCTCTTCTCACTCCAAGTTAAACTAGTATTTTGCATCCTGTGGTACATATCATGTTTTATACATTTGTGTGAAAAATTATATAAAGCAAATTGAAGTAGTCATACATAAAAATCTCTTTTAGCTAAATTTTAATAAATTGAGCTTATTGTACATATACATACATCTTATATTTAGGTGTGCTTTTGCTTTAAAAATCTTTTTGCTAAAAAATATACCTAAAACATAAATCTGCAGTATAAAAAATATGAAGTTATCAAGCAGAAGACCCCTTTTCCTGTCCCTATCACAAGCTCTTCCTCCCATCCTGGAATCTAGCACTATAAATACATGACTGAATGCCATATAAATGGGCAAGAAGAGACAAATCTCTATGCAAAATAATTCCAATAAATTTGCATGGATATTCCATCTTCAAGGGAATGGAGCTTAATACCCAACTCTTAACTTTCATGGTAATCACATCTTTGTTTTACCACCTATGTATATACCCCTGAAGTACAGGATTTTGCCTTGTCTGTTTTTGAACTCAATGCAAATGGCATGAAATATTCTCGATTCCTTTGGGTTTTGCCTCTTCTCAGTACCATAGTCTTAAGATTCATCCACACTGTTGCATGTTGCAGTCTGCTCATTTTTATTAGTGTTCTGTTGTGTGATATCCCACGCTTTACTTGTTCATTCTTCTATTGCTAAATCTTTGGGTTGTTTCCAGATGTATTCTGTTATGAACAAAACTGCTATAAATATTTTTGAAAATGTCCCTTAGCGCATAGAAACACAAGTGTCCCTTTGGGCATATACTAGTGAGAAGAACTGATGAGTCATAAGATATATATCTGAGTGCTTAGCTGTAGTATTCTTAAGAGAATATCAAACTTTCAGTAGTTGTACCAGTTCAGTCTAATGAACTACATATGATAGTTTCCTGTGCTCTGTGTCCTTGTCTCACAAGTTTGTTTTCATATAATTTTTCACTTTTGTTAATCCAGAATGTGCTCCAAATCTTTATGATTTTCATTTTCTTTTCTTCTATAACTAAGAACTAAGTAGAACATCTTTTTATGTCTTGGACATTGGCCAATTAAATGGTCTGTTTTGTCAAATACTTGCCCAAAACTTGCTTATTTTTACACCAGTCTACTTGCCCTTTTTCCTCACCCATGAAAGCACTCAACATAAAACAAAACAAGCAACAATAACAAAAACCCCAACCCACAATGGTTGGCGTCTGTCAAAGGGACCCTGGAGTCAACTGAAAGAGTTCCAAATGACCCAGGCTGGATGAACATGAACAACAAAAGAGCTGTGGATTATAACTCAACATAAAACAAAATAGCTGTAGTGCAGAGCACTATAAATGCATGACTGACTGCCATATAAATGGGCAAAAAGAGACAAATCTCCAAGCAAAATAATTCCACATAAATTTACATGGATAGTCCATCTTCAAGGGAATGGAGCTTAATATCCTACTCTGTGTGTGCTGAACAAAGTGATGGCCTTCCAAGAGTGCAGGACAGGAAAGGGGGAAAGAAATGACTTCCCAGTGGGTCAACCTGATAAACATGACTGCAGTCAGGTGATCAAGGTCAATGTCAGCTGTGAAAGCCATGTTGACAGCATGTATCCTTGGCATGTGGTGAAAATTGTACTTGGCCCAAGTGATCTCCCTCCCCGCAACCCATAATGAGAAAAACATCAGACAAGTCCAAATTAAGGGGAAAGTCTACAAAATACCTGACTAGCATTCCTTAAAATGACCGAGATAATCTAAAATATTAGAAAATCTGAGGATATGTCATAGCCAAGAGGAGTCTAAGTGGAAATGACAATATAATGCAGCATCTTGGACGGAATCCTGGAAAACAAAAGGGGCAGTAAGTAAAAACTAAGGACATCTGAATGAAGGATGGACTTCAGCTCGTTGTATCAGTGTCAGTTCATGAATTACGAGAAACAGTGGAAAATGGGTGTGGGGTATATGGGGATTTTTTATCAATTTTTGTAAATGTGAGACTATTCAAAAATAAGTTTATTTTGAAAAATCTTTGTATACCTGTGATAAAACCGGCTTAAATATTTAGGTAATAATTGTGGTATTATGGTTTTGAAGACTTTCAGATGTTTTCAAAGCCAAGGACTCATTTCATACATATAAATTAGCTGTTTTTAAAAGCTAAACATAAGTAACCTTTGAAACTATTTGATTTCATTACACTCTCTCTTCTTGTGGTGAATCATAGAATACTTTTCCAGCTTTTAATATAATAAATAACATTGTATTTTAGAACAATAAGTTTCCCAGCTTGCTTTGGAAAAATTATATTAATGTCATTTAACTTTTGTGTTATATCTTTCTTGCAAGGAATTCAAATTGCATTATGGCAATTACAGAAATCATAATATCAGAATATTAGAACTGGAAGGAGACATAACAATAATCTAATTCAACCTTCCCATTTTATAAATTAGTTTACTTAAACATTCATTTTCATATAATTTAGTATCAAGAAAGAAAGCAGCTTATTGGGAATAACTTGAGATGTAAAGACACTCATACAGAACATGTAGTCAAATAAGCCTAGAACAGCAGGCTTAGAATATGTTGGAAATCTCTTGTTTTCCAGTTTTAAAATAAGTGATGTGCTTTTATCAAATAATTGAAAGCCACAATAGAGCTTTCCTGAGAGAGAGTCTTCACTCATTAACCTGATTACCTATCGACTTTTCTCAATCATTTTCTAGTTGTTTGTGTTTGTTGACGGTAAAAGCTAACAGGGAGACATGATTCTCCAACCTCACTTGACTCTCAACCCATCATCATGTAAAAATGGACAGGTAGGGACAAGATTGTAGCTTTAGTTATTATCACTAGACTCTTTTTCTTCCACACCCAACTTACCAAGTCTTTGTCCAAAGTACCAGAGACAGACTTGCTTCTTATGCTGATAGTATCCTCTAATTCTTCTGTAAATGAACCACTCAAATCTAGCTCGGATTGACTCCGGTCTGGAAAAAAGGAAGAGAAAAGAAAGCTATGAGTCAGTGTGTTTTGTTAGAAGGCTTCATTCTTCATTATGAATGTTACATCTTCATTCTATCTAGACATAAGTCAGAATATCGTGAAAGCAATAGTAACTTCATACTGTTCATGCTCACATACTTCCATTTTCCTATAGTATTTTGAATTTTCTTGGACTGAATTACCAAATGTACCTATCTCTCCTTTGATTAGGATAGATTAAATGCTTGACTATAAAATGCTAATTTTTAAGCTGTTTAAGGCTCTGTTTTGCCCAGAGACTTCAAAAAACTGAGAATGGCCCCTTCAGCTTAGAAAAAAAAAAATAAACATTCACCATTCTTGATTTAAGTATTTAGAAAATTTGCTGTTTTCCTATTTGACATAAAATGCAACTAAATGTCACAGGCTGTTTCTTTTGCACAAAAAGGGAATGGCTTATAGGTAAACCAAGAGAAACTTTTCTTTAGATACCAGAGCATTCTTTCACTAAATTAATCTCTTGCTTTTAAAACTATAAGTTAAAGAATAAAGCATGACTCAGAACTTGCCAAGACAGATACTTATTCCAAAGAACAGTTCTATGTCAAAGCCCCATTTAAATATGGCTGTTTATAAATGAGGACTGAAAAGAACAGTCAAGTACTTCAGAATAAAATGGTGAAAGAAAAAAAAAAAACGTAGACACACTTAGCACAATGCCTCACACAGAGTAAGTCCTTAATAAAGTGAAGCTGTTGAAACTTCACACAAATAAAAGTAGTCTGGTGTTGACCTCCAGGATAGTTTAAAATTTTCTCTGAACAGGTAAACTGGTTTTCTAATAGTAAACAAAAAGCAATGATAACCACAAACATTTAGGGAATTCTCTGTGAGCTACTTGACTAGGAGACTCCCTAACTCAAAGTCCGGCCTTAAGCTTCCTGCAAATACCATTGATTAGACAGCAGGTAACTTTGCCATGTTGAGGATCTTGTCATGATTTTGATCCTATATATGACACACATATATCCTAATTATAATACATTTTATGCATATTTCTCTGAAGAGTTGTTAGTCATAGGTAATAAAATGGTTTGTAGGGGCCCTCCCTGGTGGCGCAGCAGGTTAAAGCACAGCACTGAGAATCTAAAGCCACTTCCGCATGAGTTCGATTCCCGCCTGCCCCAGA